CACACACACACACACAAAGGGGAAGACAAAAAATGCTTATCAAACAAGTTTGTTTTTCTATGAATGAGTGAAAATTGGGAGAAATTGTGAATGGAAGAATTTCATGTTTTTCTTAATTTTTCTTGTAAGGCCCAAACTATTGCAAGAAAACACATGCATTGCATGTAATTTTTTTTTTAACTCATAGTACATGAGGGGTTTGGACAAAGGTTCCACTTACTCTAGGTCACTGTATCAGCCAACAAGCAAATCTGGAAACAAACCAAATTGACAGAAAAAAATTAATACTTATTGAATTAAATGCTTATTAAATCATTGGAAGGCTGGATGAACAGACTCTGGATTGAGACTCCCCTGTTCTGAGACAGGGGTCTCAGAACAATGCAGGCCCACCTGTGGGGATCCCAGCATTGCCATAATCAGAAGTGAGGGGAAGCATGAGGCCTCCATGGGGTGGGAAAAGCACCATCCACAGAGCAAGAGCCAGGGAGTCGGAACCAGGACCTCCGCTGTGACTGCCCCAGCTGCCTCTAGACATCCAGGGCRTTGTGTCCGGACATTGGAAGCCTCTGCGGCTGCCTCCTGCAGAACTGCCTCCCAGTGCCCCCTCTCTCTGTGCAGCAGGAAGAAAGTAGCTTCATGTCTTCTTCACCTGCAAGCATCCTGCTGATAAAACCAAGAGTGTGTGCACCCAGACTCTAGCTGCAAGGAATCTTTCCTTTTTATTCCTTTCCTTTTATTTTATTTTTTTATTTTTCAGGCTCTGCAGGAAAGGTGGGGTGGAATGAAGTTAGCTAGCCAAAGCTTTGTTCAAGGGAGAGGGAAGAAGAATTCAAGACATTTCAGATACACACACAAAAAAATAAAAATCTACTACCCACAGAGTCTCTCTGAAAATAATGCTAAAGGATGTATTCTGAGAATTTTTCAAAAAATGAGTCATAAGATAATGTGGGGCTTTAAGAAGTGATTTTAAACTTAAGTCTTAATTGTCCTCCACAATCTCCTTTGACCTGGCCTTGATAACTTAGAGCAAGGTAAAGACCTACTAGTAAATATCATCCGCTTTGCAGGCCCTCTGGTCTCTGACCCAACTTTGCTGTTGGAGATCAAAACCCAATAACACAGAAACAAAAATGCCTGACTGTTCCAATAAAACTGTTTTGATAAGAACAAGTAGAGAGTTGGATTTTGTCCACAGGGTGTAGTTTGGGGACCCTCAACTAAGAGAATCGGCAGACATAAAAATGCTCCCTGAAAAGTGTATTTCTGGAACAGGGAGGGTAGTGGATTTGTTGGGAAATCGCATGGAGTCGTCATGGTTGCCCAGCTCGCCTGCCCCAGCGAATACGATGGACGTGGCAAAAGGTGAGCCTCAAAAAGGAAACTGAGGCTGGTGAGGAAGGATTTTGTTTTATAAGTTTATGACCCTCCTCTCTCTCTCTCTCTCTCTCTCTCTCTCTCTCTCTCTCTCTCTCTCTCTGTGTGTGTGTATGGAAAGTCAAAATAGAAGTGGTTTGGTTTTTTTTTTGTTGTTTTTGTTTTTTTAATACCAGGGATTGAACCAGGGGGTGCTCAACCACTGAGCCACCTCCCTATCCCTTTTTAATATTTTATTTAGAGACAGGGTCTCGCTGAGTTGCTGAGGCTGGCTTTGAACTCACGATCCTCCTTCCTCAGCCTCCCAAGCTGCAGGGATTACAGGAGGGCACCACCACACCTGCCTAAAATAGAAGAATTTTAATAAGGATTTTGTCATGATCAAATGTGGATTTTAGAAAAAAAAAATGTGGGTCTGGGGATGGAACACAGGCCCCGCGCATGCTAGATAAACACTCTACCACTGGGCTCCACCTCCAGCTGAGAACTGCATCCTGAAGAACACAGTGTCCTTCCACCTGCTCCCAGGAAAAAGCCCCCATCCCTCCCCAGACCCTGCGGGRTAGGTCTGCACCCACAAAGACGCCTCACTGTTGCTTTGCTTTGTCTCTGTCCCTTTTCCAGCTTTGAAATGTTAGTCATCGGGTTGGTTCTTTGGACTCAGCTTCTGCCCTTGATCCTTTCTTCACCTTGGCACAGTCTGGCATTTGACCTGGGGCTTCATGCTGTAGGCAGTAGTAAAACACCAGAATGATGCTTAGCTCGCCTGGACAACTTTGTGCTCATTTCTTGTTTTTGCCAAAAGACACCTAGACACCTCTAATGTGTGCTTTAATATGAGCACAAAGCTAATGGGGAATCTTTATTCTTTCATTTTTAAGGACATGCCTCTACAATACCAAAACGTAAGGTTTGCTATCGTGGATGTGGAYGATTCTCCGGTAAGAATCTTACCCTCAACCTGTGGATAGTTACGACCATTTGCATTGTAATTGAGTAGCATTGTCTCCATGATTACATAATCAAAGTAGAATCAAGTAGAATTTCACTTTTTTTTTAATAAACCATAGTAAATTCCCACATAATGCTCTTATATGACTTTTATTACTTTTTTTTWAAATTAGCAAATATGTGTTCTCCTGCTGCCCCATCCCACCCCTATACCRTGGCAGCCCTCACTAATCAATCCCAACGTTCTCCACCACTTGCCCTAGATTCTGCCCCAGAATCTTCTTCAGCAGAGATGCTCCAGGAAGATAATACCAGTCAAATGGAATTAAGTTCATGTTGAAAAATAATTTCATGTCCATCTTGTGATAAATTATTGATCATTTTCTAAAACCAAACTGAATATATTATAAACATCTTATTATAACTTGTTTTCCTCTTACTTTATCTTGTGCTTTTTTGTGGGTTTTCTTAAATATCACAAGAGATTCCAGGATTTCTTCCCTCCTATCTCTAGAGCCATCCTTCCCTACCCCACCCCACCCAAAATAATCAGCCTCATATGCTCAACCCAAATTTGCCTCTATATAATATCTCTGCAAAATTATTTCTTAATTTTGTGTGCATGTGTGTGTGTGGTACCAGTGACTGAATCCAAGGGCACTCTGCCACTGAGATATATTCCCAGCCTTTTTAATTTTTTATTTTGACAAACGTTCTTGCTAAGTTTCCCAGGCTGACCTTGAGTTTGAGATCCTCCTGCCTCAGCCTCCCAAATCTGGGATCACAGGCATGTGCCACTGCATCCAGCACATTTGTTAACTTATAACAAGGAAAAATAACTGTGTTAACTTTCCATCACTATAACAAAATAACTGAGATAATAGACTTATAAAGAGAAAAGGTTTATTTTGGCTCATAGTTTTGGACGTTCCATGATTGATTGGCCCTGTTGCTTTGGTCTAATGGTGAAGCAACACATCGTGGTGGGAGAGCATGGTGAACAAAGCTGCTTGCSTCATTGCCAGGAAGCAAAATAGAGAAAGGAAGAGTTTGCAGAGTCCCACACTCCCCTTCAAGGGGGATTGACCTACAGATCTCCCACTCAACTCCACCTTTTAAAGGTTTCATCACCTCTCAATAACCCCACCCCAGGACCAAGCCTTCAACATGTGGGGCTTTGGGAACATTCAACATCCAAACTATAGTAATAACAATAACAAGTGGTCTATAGATACCTTGGATTGAATAAGCTTTAGGATTAAAAAAAAAATATGTTATTCACTGTTGAGCATTTTAAAGGTTGAAGTTGTAGAGGTTGAACCTTTATAAACTTTATTTATTTGCTAAATATGACAAAGACTATTAGAAATGATAAAATRCATATGATATATAGCATGGTGCCTGGTGTGTAATAGAAGTTCCACTTCTCCATTTCCTCTAAGCCTCATTAAAGTGTGACAGTACTTAATTACCGTTTCCGCTGAATCATACCCTGTGTACTCAGAAAGCACAGCTAGGAACGTCATCTCTTTGTCTCTTTTTAGATTCACAAACTTGTGCAACCATTGCTACAGTCATCTTTAAAACATTTTCATCACTCCAGAAAGAAACACTATACTCTTTATCAATCACGGCAATTCCCTCCCTCCGTGCACCACACCCACCCACAGGAGGCAACTATAAATCTACATACCATCTATATATAGATTTGCTCATTCATAGAAACGGAATCATAGGTGGTCTCGACTGGCTTCTTTCACATAGCATATTTTCAAGGTTCATCCATGTTATGAAATGTATTCGTACTACATTATTTTGCTGAATAATATAATAATAATCCACCATATGGATAATACCGCCTTTTATTTATCCATTCATCCATTAGTGAACATTCAGGGGGTTTGTACTTTTGGACTATTGTAGATAATACTAATATAAAAATTAATGTACAAGTTCCTGTGTGAACCTGAGTTTTCATTTCTTTTGATATATATCTACGAGTGGAATTTTGAAGTCATGTGGTAACTCAGCACTTAACTTCTAAGGAATGGACAAACTAGTTTCCAAAGTAACTACACCATTTCATATTCCCATCATCACAATAAGAGTCCTAACTTCTCCACATCCTTGCYAACACATGTAATTATCAGACTTTTTTTTTTTACTATACTCTTATCTTTTAAGGTGAAACAAAAAACACTTTTTAATAGTAATTTATTTATTTTGGGTATCATTACTATGGTCGTGAAAATTATAATTTACTGTGTTTGTGTGTACATGTGTGTTTGTATGAGTGTTTGCATTAGGGTGGGGAAAGAGATTTAATGCCAAGTAAAAGGTAGCTATATTAAGGAGAGAGGTCCAATTCAGTTTATCCTGTGAAGGGCTAATTTTCTTTGGCGTCCTCAACAAGAGGAAAAAGAAATCCATCCTACCACTTGGAAGTAATTTGGAATGGATTAAGACTATTGGGATTTCAGYCTATTTTCTTGCCTTTGGACTCCAAATCTTTCACAAAGATGAGCAGTGAGGAGGGTGTAGGTATTAAAAGAAAGAAATGTGTGTTAAAATGCTAGACCCATACATCATTCCATGTCTGCAGTATGACTTACAAAGGTATTTTTATTCGTTCCTATTTTTGCAATGGGCTCCTCTGCAGTCTTTCACAAGGTCCTTGACAAGAGAGTTCATTCACTCGGCATCCATTCTGTTTTGGCCTCCGTCYCTCTCCTTTCTTCTAGAGCTCTTGGATGGAACAGCGTAGGAATACGGGAACATTCATTCTCCATTGTCACATTTCTGGAGGCTCTGAGTATATGCTTGGAAATTTCTTGGCAGGAGAGTTTATAAACTGTCAGGCATGCCTCGTGTGGTGGCACATGCCTGTAATCCCAGGGATTCAGGAGGCCGAGGCAGGAGGATCGCAAGTTCAAGGCCAGCCACAGCAATTTAACAAGACCCTCGGTAACTTACTGAGACCCTGTCTCATAATAAAAAATAAAATGGCTGAAGATGTAGCTCAAATGGTAGCAATCCTTAGCAACAACAACCAAAACCAAAAGCGTCAGGTGTCCCTGRGCTTTAAGACATACCTCCTGATAATTCAACAAGTGATATAGCTGGTACAGAGAGAAGACAACAATACTCCGACTTCTTACCATTTCTTTTCCTTTCCAGGAGTTGGCTGATGCTTGTCACATTAAAGCAGTGCCCACATTTCAGATATTCAAGAAAATCCAGAAGGTATGTTTCCATAGAAACCAGCAAGGTCAAATTAGATTATAGAACCATCAGAGCAAAAAGAAAGGGGGAAAAAATCCTACGATATCCTGGGTGGTGAAACAACACATTTATTTTTAACTCTTAGTAATTTTTATTTCTGAACTTACATATGGCCAAGAGGTTAAAAAAATGCAAGATTTATTAAAAATATCCCCCATTTAGACCATCTGAGGTGTTTGGACATAAGAATTCATAAGGATTATTCTACTGTTACCCTAGCCTGGGGCAGAACCATCAAGAAAGAATCTTCTGGAAAAGAACATGATGACATTCTCACACCAATGTAGACACATCATTAACACCACATGGAAAAACATTCATAAAAAGTTATCACAGGGCAAGATGAATATGTCTGAATATGCAGATTCTAGATTCAGATTCCCAGGGATCAAATACCAGTTCTCCCACCGCCTACCTGTGGGACCTGGAACATGTACTTCATCTCTGTATATCCAAGTTTCCCCATCTGTGAAAACAGGGATCATAATAAATTTTCCCCTCACAGGGTTGTTGTGAAAATTAATTCACTAATAGAATAAAGTGTCAGACCCACCCTGGCATCAAGTGCCCAACGTGTTATGTTAGCTGGTTAGCTGTTCTCTTGAAGATATTTATGGAATAAAATATTTAAAATATTTGGCACGTGATCAAAGTAGCCATTTCATATATGGCTGGAGATATGRACAATTGTGCATATCTCATAAAATGTCATTTTGCCACAAACTTAGGAGGCACAAAATATTCATTCCTTTTCACACAATTACCTCATCCCTGGGAACTTGGGCCAGAGAAACACTTCAAGAAAAAATAAACAGCTAAGTGTATCATAATAATTACAGCATGAAAAAAAATAAATAAATGGAAGCAACCTAAATGTCATTTTTAGTAGAGTGACTAAGTAAATTAGGATACATCCACTCTCTGAAATTGTATTCAATCAAAATGTTGAAAGAATATGTGTAAACAAGTTTATTCTGAAACTTTATGAAGATTTGTRTCTGCAGTGTAATGAATAAAAGCATTTGACATGTAACTGTAGAATTTTATTTTCAGTTATTATTTGTTATATACTTGCTGCACTATAATTGTTGCAATGAATTTAACTTATTTTTTTGAAAATAACATTACATGTTCCCTTCCCTTGTGTTTTTACTTGAAAATTAAAGCTATTTAATATATGTTCTCCCAACATGTACTACCTCCATGTCAAGTTATATACCTGTGCATCCTATTTTATTATTTTCTCCACTTCCATCTCAGAAATAAGAATGTGTCCTTCTTCCAAAAATTGATTCCATCCAAGTATTTGGATTGCATTCCCTCCCTTCTGTTCCAGGCCTCTATCCTTCAGTTACCCTATTTTAAAGTTGGAGTTTGGACTTGTGTTTGTGCCATCTGGCCTCCATTTTCCATGATCTATCAGCAGATCTCTGATTTTCTTTTTGGGAGCCATGTCCTTTTCCATCCTGGCCCAGGTGCTCTCTGGGGACTTCATCTCTAGGTGTAGACCAGTCAATGAAGTCTGTTTCCATCAGGAATGGGCCCTGGGTTCTAGTCAAGCCAATCAATCCAAGACAAACCAGAGCTGATTCCAGGACCTAGGCTTGAGCAGTAGGTCAACGTCTTCCCCTTGATATCACTGAGGTTGAATTTGGGAAGAGATGGAGCTGTAACTATGACAACTAGCTTGTCATCMTACGGAAAACTGAAGACGAAGCCACCATAGAGGAAAGCAGCGGAGTCACTCACRCCAGCAGATGCTCATGGCATGAACTGAACACTGCATTTGTCCATGTCTGAAGTCTGAGATACCCCCTAGGTCCTTGTAGGCATGGGAACATTGAGTTGGATTTTCTGTCAAAAAAAATTCTCCTGTGTATATTAGATGTTCTCTTAAACTGGTCTCCTTCATTTCCTGTTGAAAGAGTAGAATACATTTAATATTTCCATTTTTTTATTTTCCACACATTCCCTCATCTATCATTCCTTAATGTCACCAACTCTTTCCACACATCTAATTGAAATAGCCATTCCTCAATCCTCATATTTCTTGGTTACACAAAAGCACAGTTAACGAACCAGCTGATATATTCTGGAAACGTCTTTCCTCTTTGGGCTTCTATCTCTGATCCCTCCCCCAAGCTCTCCTCTGGCTTATCTCCTCTGGATTCCAACATAAGTGCTTCCCAAAGTTCTAACCTCTTCTCCTCCTACCTTCTGCCCTTTAGCAATTGCATCCCTACTTCTAGTTCAAGCCATAAATACCTTTTACTGAGACAGATGCAACAGCCCTCTTTACTCCCAAGCTGTAACTCTATAACTTTGTTCTCTTCTCCAAATAAACTCCTGCCCAGCTCCATGTATATCATTTCCTTATTTAAAATGTGCTATCTTCCCTGCTCCGTTGCCTCCAGAATCATCACTAAACACTTGTGYTCAAGTCTGGCATTTAGATATCGCCGTAAGTCTGACTCAAGCCACTGTTCCCTGCCCTTTTCTGTTTGACTCAGATCTCAACTCCAAGCACTTGGAGTCGTTCAGATCTGATTTGAAAGCCTGGTGTCTAGAGGAACCTTGGGTGGAGAGAAAATGTTCTATGTGTGACAAATGAGTAAGCAGATGAATRCATGAGTGAATGTTTGTCTTTTGCCTACATCTCACTCTGGCTCTGCCTTCCTGCCTGGTCTTGTTCCCATCTAATTCAGTGCAAGTTTCCGTCTGGCTCAGTACAGTTCTCTGTTTTCACTCCTTCTGTAGATGTTATTGCTTGGTGGCTGCTGCCCCTCAATAGATTTTATTCCCATTTTATGATGATACAAGACTCTCAGTTCCCAACTTACTCTGTATCTAGACTGTTGAGCAGATATTAGCCATTCTTCTGAGCAAAGGCTTGGCCCTATTTGGTCTCAGCTCTCTATGGAGGTTGGAAAGCCCCCTCTAAGGGGAGGTGAGATACTCTTAAAAACAAGTATATCTTTAAAGGTATCTAAAGGGTACAGACGGATCTCTTGAACTAATGGAACAAAATGCCGGCACTCCCAGATCATGAATGTTAGTGAACTTTCTGTTATAATAACAAATACCTGAGATAATTAACTCAAGTTTATTTTGGCTCATGGTTTTGGAGATTTCAGTTCCTGTAGCTCATTGCTTTTGAGATACATCGGGGTAGGGAGCACATGGCAGAGAACAGCCACTCATATCATGGCTGGAAAGCAAAAARGAGAAAAGGAAAGGGGCCAGAGTCCCCCAGTCCCTTTCAAAGACATGCCCCCCATGACCTGAAGACCTTCTACCCTGTCCCTGAAGGCTACAAGCCCTCCTGATAGTGCCACCCTTTACTGCATAGACCTTTGGAGACACTTAAGGTTCAAAATATAGCACCAAGATCTCAAAATTTTGATTTACTGCTGGATAACTGCTAGAAAATACCATTATCTGAACTTGCAATGTACAAAGGAGTCCACTTCTAAATTTTGTTTGCACCTGTAATCATGTCTCCTGATGTATCATACCTGGATCAATTTAGATACCATTTTTAAAACTCCAGTAAAAATTGCAATAATGAAACTGTTTGACAAAAAAAAATCCATCTTCTATGCAAAAGACAAGAGTCGTAAAAAGGGAGGAAGAGATCCTAAAGAGATATCCCTGCAACTGAGCAGCACTGTAGGTTCYGCAGATCCTCACTTCTACTGTTGCATCAAGAGCTTCAGTTAAACCTTGACACCGCTGAAAACCTCCCCCAGTTCTACCTCATAGGGCTCTGAAAAGAAAGCCCCTAGAACCAGAGAAGATTTGGGGTGGCCAGGCAAAAAGATTCATTCATGCGAATTTTCTTTCCCTTGCAATAGAACTGACCAGGAAATCTCTCATTGACATCCACTATCTTCCTGGGGGTAGAGAAAAAATTAAATTCACTTCTTTGGAACCAACTCCATAAATGTGTTTCATCCTTCATCTGGGACAGCACAMCTGGAAATGGATTTATTGAAGCAATTACGTTCTATTTATCTGGTTTTTTTAAAACCCCTAGAGTGGAGTTTCTATTAAGGATTGTTACTAGAAATGTCCTCACATTTCTGGTAAAATATCTGGCAAAGAGCCACTGTCCATTATACCCTTTCAAATGTGCATGGCATAAAAGCCTTATGATAATTCCTAGGTAGGAGATTATTCACCTCGTTTGGAAATATGATCCACTTCCTTTCGTTAGAACAAAAAAGTCTTTGCATTTCTCTTTTGCCATTATTCCAAGAATCTCAGGATCACCTCTTCTGATTGAATTCAGTAGCCTCCCCGTCCTGCAGTTTCTTGATATTCCTAGACATTCCCACATCTCATCATCCTTTATGTTTTCATTATTTTATTTTGCCCTGATTCATGTTCATTTCAATTATTTTTAAAGTATATAAATCATAAGACAAAACTTCAAAAAATGAAAACAAATGAGGCCATTTGCAATGACCCGTGGTGGTTTATGGGCATTTCTTGGTTGCTGGAAATGTTCACATAGAGGTTARAAGAGCAGCTGGCAGGGATACAACATGAGCCACACCACTTAAGGAGAAAACCACAACAAATTTTGGGTAATCAAAAAGGCTTTTCCCTTTCTGCTGTACYCCTTAATGTTTTTATCTAGAACATCACACCATGTTCCAAGAAGATACATTGTGGTAAATAAGTTCATTCCTGCTCTACTTTTCCAGATGGGGCACCTTGGCTGGTTCTTTTAACACAGTATTCTATTGTAAGTACAGTAGTCCCCCTTTATGTGATAGTCGGGGGCAGGGCAGGGGGGTTGTGYTTGCTCCCTAAATATATCTTACTATATCACCATCCCTACACAACCAGTCATGGCAACAGGAAATTCAAGACCACAACCGTCAGTCCAGGTGCACATCATCAATAATGATGTTTTGTGAAACAAGTTGACAAGCCAGAGTGGCATGGTGCATCACTTCAAAGTCATTGACCACGAATACCACACTTGGAGGGCCACACTCCTGGGAACTGGTGAGGAGTCAGTCAGGATTCTCTTGAACACTTGCAAGAGGAAGCAGCCAGATCACCAGCGTTTGTTCTTCTTTCAGAAGGAGTCACGCAGGCCATTAAAACATCACTTTTGTTATAAGTAGTCATGACACTCAATTGTGTTCACTGAAGAACATAGCTGGAACTGGTGTCAAGAGACTGCCTACAGTTCTCTTGAAGCCTTGACCTTGAGATGACTTGCCCATGGGAGAATCTGGGGCTGCAGAGGGCAAGCTTATTGCCCAGGTAAAAGAGAGATCACTGCTTTGCAAAACTGTCAAAATCCTAATGTGAGGAAAGGCATGAGAGCCTTCCAGACCCCTCTGAAGAAAGCTGTCCAAAGGGACTCAGAGGAAAGCTCACCTGAGCAGAGYATCCCCCGAAAGAGAGAGAACAGACATGAGCTCACTCCTTCACCTAGGCTTAAAAGACATGCTTGCCCCGGAACTGGGGGGAAAGAGGAGGATGTAGAAAGCAGGCATGTGTAACCGTGTAGAAAGAAGGCATCTGAGCTGATGTTTTCAGTGGAAACATGAGAACGGGGGTATAGGCCATTGAAGGAAGAGCCCCTATAGCCACATTTATACTTGAGAACAAAGTTCCATCTCACATTTCCAGCAGGCAGAAGACATCTCCTCTGGCCAGAGTCCCAAATCACTTTTCCTATTCTCTGTGTGGCTTGAGATGAATTCTCWCAACATCAGATCCATTCCTCCTTTCCCCTTCTGTGGAAAACCACACTGTGCTGAGAACATGGCCCTCAAGCAGCCTGTCAACCATTCAATTGCAGGCCCAGGTTAAGTTTGGCCTGAGGGCCAAATCAGACCCTCTGACCTATGGAACCCAGCCACACCCATTTGTTTAYATKCAARATACAACAGCAAATTAGAGTAGCCTATGAATCATGAAATAGGTATTATCTGGCCCTGTATCAATGAAGTTTGAACCTGAATCTAACACAGAAGAAGAAAAGCACTTCTACCATTATTTATGCCGGCAATGCTCAAAGAGTCAAATATRTAAGAACTTTCTAAACAAGCAACAAGAAAAGGAAAATAAATTAGTATTTTACTGACTTCTCACTATGAGAACAAGTTGAAAAGATAGCTCCTATAGATAAGGGGAGAGGGAATTAACAGCTTGCTTCTATGAGCTCTTTTCTTGAAATTGGGGGCATATGTTCAAGCTTCCTTCTTGTTAGGATTTAGCTCAACTCCAAAAACCTTCACTGAGTTTCTTGCATTTGCAATGCCTGCCCTGGATGTTGTGAAAAGTCAAGGGGAAGCGTTCAAATACTGGGTTGACCTTATGCAGATGGTTCTSGGGTGTTAGAGTCTGTAAACAAGTCTGGATGGYGCCTGGCAAAATGCCAGAGGGAGTGGTTTGTGAAGTAAGGCCAGCAAGCCATTAAGTGTGGAGATTCCTTATTGGTTGACTGCTGTATCTAGTTTATGTTAATTAAGATAAGCTGTGTGGAATGTATAAATACCCATCCTGTCCTACAATAAACGGCTCCCATTCCTGCTGTATCAATGTACACAAGTTGTTCGTCACCCCCCCACCCCCACCCCACCCCCATATTCTGCTGCAGCCAGACTGCGGCACTGGGGAAGAAGTGGGTGGGGTTCAAAGGGAGAAGCCAAAACAGGATCAAATAGCACCCTGCCCACCTCTTAGCAGATGGTGGAGATAATCTGAAAACTTCTCATCTCTTCCATCTTATTCACAACATTGAATGCCTTAGTGTAAACCCTTCTAAAATAATATATTATTATAAATGATGAAATTGTATGTACAAACACTTCTACAGCCATCCCCAAAAAATGTCTTGTGTGGGTTGGTGGTTCTGTGCTACTYTGTTTGCTGCTGCTGTTG